AAATAATAATACATACATACATAAAATTATTGTATTTGACATTTGTCACTTTTGAAATGATGGCTATGCCCCTGGTGTGACAAAATGCTAGCCTATACATAATACTTTTAAAGTTCTTTTAAAAAATCTTGGCTTACATACATTTCTACATATGCCATAGCATCATTAAACTAACATCTAACAACGGACAAAAGTGGATATTTTTTGCCCTCGCTCTCTGACTCCATAAAAGCTGCCATGTAATTTGCCCCTTAAGCATATGAAGAATTTAGGGGAAGCATTTAAATAATCCTGTGAATGCACTTAAAGAATGCAGAATCGAGTCGTTAATCGAATCGTATCGAATGTAATTGTGAATCGAATCGAATCGTTCTGAATTTGCAAAAATCGTTCTTGAATCGTATCGAAACCCTATGAATCGTGAATCGATTCGCTGTTTACCCAAAGATTCACAGCTCTACTGTAAGGCCTTGGTTCATCTTCAGAACACAAATTAAGATATTTTTGATGAAATCTGAGAGCTTTCTGATCCTGCATAGAGAGCAAGGGTACTACCACGTTCAAGGCCCAGAAAGGTAGTAAGGACATCATTAAAATAGTCTGTGACATCAGTTGTTCAACTGTAATTTATCAACCTACGAAAATACTTTTTGTACGCAAAGAAAACAAAAATAATGACTTTATTCAACTATTTCTTAATTTGTGTTCTGAAGATGAACGAAGGTCTTACGGGTTTGGAACGACATGAGGGTGAGTAACTAAGAACAGAATTAAAATTTTTGGGTGAACTAACCCTTTAAAAGTTCAAAAATGTTCTTCTTTTGTCGTTTGTTCTCTTTATGTCTGCCAACATCTCTGTCATTCCGTCTCTTCATCAGTTTGAAGAGGGAAATCCATTCGGTAGGAGAGGAGTCTTCCTTGCAGCCGGTCACCATAGCCATGGCATTTGTGTACTTTGAGAAGCTGGTCCTACAGGGGCGTCTCAACAAGCAGAACAGGAAGCTGGTGGCGGCCGCGTGCATTCTACTCGCTGCCAAGATCAGCAGCGACCTGAAGAAACAAGAGGTCAAGCAACTGATCGACGTGAGTGATGCTCCGACACACACTTTCCAGTCAACACATACACTGCAGTTCAAAAGTTTGCAAAATGCACCAAGGCTGCATTTATTTAATGAAAAATACAGTAAAAACAGTAATATTGTGAAACATTTTTACAATTTAAAATCACTGTTTTGTATTTGAATGTATTTTTAAATATAATTTATTCATATGATGCAAAGCTAAAATTTCAGCATCATTACTCCAGTCTTCAGTGTCACATGATCCTTCAGAAATCCTTCTAATATGCTGATTTGCTGCTCAAGAAACGTTTCTGATTATCAATGTAGAGAACAGCTGTGCTGCTTAATCTTTTTGTGGATTCTTTAATGAATGCAAGATTCAAAAGAGCAACATTTATTTGAAATTGTACATCTTTTGTAACATTATAAATGTCTTTATGGTCACATTTGATCAATTAAGTGCCTCTGCTGAATAAAGGTATACATTTCTTTCAACAAAAAGCACAGTGTTTGTATATCTATCTATCTATCTATTTCTAATGTATATCTATTTGTTTTTTTTCTGCCCAAAGAAACTAGAGGAGAGGTTCCGGATTAGCCGTCGAGAGCTGATTGCTTTAGAGTTCACTATCTTGGTGGCTCTGGAAATGGCACTTTACCTACCGGAGAGTAAAGTCATGCCCCACTACCGCAGACTGGTGCAGCAGACCTGACGTGGGTAGAGCGGAGGGCTCAGGAACGTTGTGAATATGCAGATGAGATGCGTAAAGCAGTCAAAAGTGTGGGACTCTGCGTTCCCTCCATTGCAGTTTGAGGTAACCGAGCGAATACATATCAACACGAAGCTCTAAGGAAGAACTGACGTTCCAAATGATGCTTTATATAGCAATCTGGCCAGCGGCTTTTCTTTTCATGGCTGTCTGTTTTTGTGACCACCATGGGAATACTGCTGAGGAAAACCGCACGGATCTTCTTTTATTGAAAACAGAAGGTTTTAAGACTCAAATGACAAGGGAGAAGCTTTAACTCCTGCTACTTCACTTGTGTGCATGCATGTTTGTAACATTCCGTATCTATTTACCATAAATAACTTCTATTTTAGACCTCTCCTTTTGTATAGAACAACCTACCATTCACTGTATCACTAAAGCACTTTAAAACAAAACAAAAAAAACAACTATGCATGTAAACGTTATGCAATAATAATATAGTCATTAGCACAGATCACATAATATACTGTATATGCACTTACTTTAGTAGCGTACTCAGAAAGTGTTATTGAGTGACTGACTAAATCTACCTTAGTATTCAGACCTATTATGTTCACTGTCGTTGATAAGGCTTGATTTTACTGTGACGAGTGCTCTATATTAGAGCTGATTTCAAGAAAAGCACATTTTCAGTGCTGCCGTGGTATTCTCACGGTTTCTTTTTTTTATAGAATTTTTTAAAAATCCTCTTTTAAATTCCACAGAAGAAAGTCATGATGCAAATGTGTAAAAGATGACAGGTTTTTTATTTTTAGGTGAACTATTCTTATAAGACACATGGTATTAATGTATGTGCACACTTCCATGCAAAAGTTTTTTTTTTTTGTTTTTTTTTCAAATAAATTTCTACTGTTATTCAACAAGGTTGCATTAAATTGATTAAAAGTGACAAAAATCATTTGTAAGATTTTTCATGTCTTTAATATTTCAAATAAATGCTGCTCTTTTGAGCGTTCTCTCATCATCGACTCCTGAATAAAAGGTACAACAATTTCCACAAAAAATAAAAAATTATAATAATTTAACAGTGATGATTAGAAATGTTTGTTGAGCATATTAGAATGATTTCTGAAGGATAATGTGACACTGGAAACTGGAGTAATGATGACTGCTGAAATTTCAGCATTGCATCACAGGAATAAATTACATTTTACAACAGAAAACAGTACAAAAATAATATTTCACAATATTACTGTTTTTACTGTATTTTTAATCAATTACATGCAGCCTTGGTGAGCACGTGTATATACAGGTACATCTCAAAAAATTAGAATATCATGAAAAAGGTCAATATTTTTTGTCACTCATTTCAGAAAGTGAAACCCATATATTATATAGATTCATTACACATAGAGTGAAATATTTCAAGCCTTTATTTCTTGAAATTTGATGATTATGGCTTACAGATAATGAAAACCCAAAATTCAGTGTCTCAGAAAATTTGAATATTGTGAAAAAGTTCAATATTGGAAAGTCATGGTGTTACACCATAATCAGCTAATTACCTCAAAACACCTGAGCATTTAAATGGTCTCTCAGTCTGGGTCAGTAGGCTACACAATCATGGGGAAGACTGCTGACTTGACAGATGTCCAGAAGACGGTCATTGACACCTTCCACAAGGAGGGTAAGCCACAAAAGTTCATTGTTTAAGAAGCTGGTTGTTCACAGAGTGCTGTATCCAAGCATATTCATAGAAAGTTGAGTGGAAGGAAAAAGTGTGGTAGGAAAAGGTGCACCAGCAAAAGGGATAACCGCAGCCTTGAGAGGATTGTCAGGCAAAATCCATTCAAGAATTTGGGGGAGCTTCACAAGGAGTGGACTGAGGCTGGCGTCAGCGCATCAAGAGCCACTACACACAGACGAATCCTAGACATGGGCTACAAATGTCGCATTACTCGTGTCAAGCCACTCCTGAACCAGAGACAACGTCAGAAGCGTCTTACCTGGGCTGTGGAGAAAAAGAACTGGACTGTTGCTCAGTGGTCCAAAGTCCTCCTTTCAGATGAAAGTAAATTTTGCATTTCATTTGGAAATCAAGGTCCCAGAATCTGGAGGAAGAGTGGAGAGGCACAGAAACCATGTTGCTTGAAGTCCAGTGTGAAGTTTCCACAGTCAGTGATGATTTGGGCTGCCATGTCATCTGCTGGTGTTGGTCCACTGTGTTTTCTGAAGTCCACAGTCAACGCAGCCATCTACCAAGAAATTTTAGAGCACTTCATGCTTCCTTCTGCTGACAAGCTTTATGGAGATGCTGATTTCATTTTCCAGCAGGACTTGGCACCTACCCACACTGCCAAAGGTACCAAAAGCTGGTTCAATGACCATGGTGTTACTGTGCTTGATTGGCCAGCAAACTCGCCTGACCTGAACCCCATAGAGAATCTATGGGGTATTGTCAAGAGGAAGATGAGAGACACCAGACCCAACAATGCAGATGACCTGAAGGCCGCTATCAAAGCAACCTGGGCTTCCATTACACCTGAGCAGTGCCACAGGCTGATTGCCTCCATGCCACGCCGCATTGATGCAGTAATTCATGCAAAAGGAGGCCCAACCAAGTATTGAGTGCATAGAAATTAACATACTTTTCAGAAGCCTGACATTTCTGTTTAAAATATCCTTTTTTTTTATTGATCTTATGTAATATTCTAATTTTCTGAGACACTGAATTTTGAGTTTTCATTATCTGTAAACCATAATCATCAAACTTTCAAGAAATAAAGTCTTGAAATATTTCACTCTGTGTAATGAATCTATATAATATATGGGTTTCACTTTCTGAAATGAGTGACAAAAAATATTGACCTTTTTCATGATATTCTAATTTTTTGAGATGTACCTGTATGTTAATTTCACTGTTTATTCATTAATTGCCATAATATGCTGTGTTCTGTCTCAATTTTTCAACTAGTAGCATGACCATGCGGCATACTATATCATGATTTATCCAAAAGGTTTTCCCTTCTTCCAGCACCCACAATCTATGCAATGTTTTAGATGCTTTTGTCCCATTTACTCACAAAACATCCCATTTCCAGTTTAATTCATCCATGTCTGCCTGATGCATTCATCATTTCAGTGCAGACGCTCTCTGTTAATGCTGCGTGAAAATGTTGTGTTGTTTGTCAGTAGCCAGTTTGGGGATGGCTGCTTTGTCCTTTATATAGACTGATGTATTATCCTTTTATTTACTTGCATGATGTGCTGGTAATGTTGTCCACAGATGTCTGTCTTATATTTTTATGATAGTAATCCTGAAATAAGACATTGTTTTCCAGTAATATACTGTTATTGATATTAATCCGATATTGTGCTATGAAAGAACTATTTAAGCAGTGAGTATGCGAGAGCCGCCCTCTAGAGGAAGCGATTTGCAATCACATGTTCATAGGAAAGCTGTTAGGAAGTGGATCTTGCTACAAAGGCCTAAAAAAGCAGCATCCCACTCATGTTCTTAGGAGATATTTTGTCAGGCCTTTGTTAGTTTACTTTGTGTGTGTGTGTGTGTGTGTGTGTGTGTGCTACTTTGTTGTGATCGAGAGCCCCTGAACAAACTGAAATGGCAGGTCTAATGGATATAAAATCAGTTTTACACAAGTTGAATTAAAGTGCCTAGGATTTTTTTGTAATGAATAATTTGGTAAAGGGAAAAAATGGAAGTAAAGCAGTTGTATTTACACTGTGATTTTTCTATAGCCTTCAGTACTGCACTCCAAAGGCAAATCACCGTAATTACATGCATTGAAAGGGTATTATCTCTTTTTTTGTTTGTTTGTTTTAAATCTGAGCATGTTTGAGCCAAACCTGTCTGTCACTGGACAGATCATATTCTAACTGACCCGATTTCACGTAACTCAATTGTGACAATTACGGTTTTATTTTTCCACACCATAATATCCAGGATAATATGCCAGCTCGGTGGTCCGTTTCAGCTGTAGCCAGTCGTCTAGCATTATTTTTCAATTGGACGTTTCAGTTGTGTTTTCGCCTACAGGCGAATTTATTATATATATCATAAAATACATTTCCTCTGATCTCTTCTGAGGAGTTCAGCATATTTAGTTACAGTAATCTTCCATTTATGAATTATGATAGGAAGGCTGGGAAGGACGCCAGCAGCAGATAAGGGATACGGCTGTATTGTAGAGCTGCTGAAATCATATTAGCATCTTTCTTAAAGATATGCTACTACAAATATAACTAATTTCTAACTGATGTCCTTTGAGTACAAGCTGTCCTTTCGTGTGCTCCCTTGCTATGCTTTCTCTCTCTCTCTCTCTCTGTTTGTACCTGTTATTTTGTTTTGTTTTTTGTTCATTTGCAGGTGACATTCAGTTTATGTATGAAGAATTTTGTGTGTTAATTGTCATAATTGTTGAATTTACCATGCACTTTCACAAATATACAAATATATTTTCTAAAATCACTGAAAACTGCAAGTTATTTATTTCTGGGTATTGTTAATACAGAAAGATAATCTTTTTTGTTTCCACATTTACAAACACAAAGGATATGGTTAAAACAAAAAGAGTATAACATGAACAAATACATAACTCATCATCATTATAATATTTAAAAAACATATAAAGAGTTCACTTGGCTGGATTTAAAGAGTTGACACTTCTGTTCTACTCTAGAATAAACTGTATTAATCTGAAACCAGTTATTTCAGAGTAATACTGTACTGTTTTATTCAGTTGTTTGAGTCTAAATAAACATTTTAAATTTGCTTATGCAAAACAGTAGGTGCTATTTGTCTGAGATATTGAACCGTGACGTGATTCCTGGAAACAAGCGTTCCCTGGTGGGAATTCCTTTTCTGTGGGATATCCTTACCACAATGTTTAATACAGAACACAAAGAGGATCAACTTTACTGAAGGAATCCCTCATGTGTCAAGTTTGATCATGAGTCTGATCAGACAAATTAATAGAGTTGATATAAAATATAGAACTACTGTATAATGTGACACTGGGGTCATCTGAATGAGCTACTATAATTGCAGTTTTTTATTTATCTCACACACAATCACACAAAATAAAAAGAAAATCAGTTTGGTTTATTTGAACAAGCTTTATGCACTTCTATAAGAAGAATAAATCAGCAAAACCATAATAGCATTGTCATTTTTCTGGTATGTATAACATGTATATTATATAGCCTATAAACGCCAATCACTACAAAGATTGATTTGGCTTTTAAAAAACATTTCAGAAATTGTTCTTAAACTCGTGCATTACTTCAACGTTACAATGTTTAGAGCATTTTGCTTGCAATAAATTGTGTGAACAGATTGCAGTTCAGAGAAAGGCATATTAATGAACTTATCTAAAGTGAAATTGTGCAAACAGGTGATTTTTCTTTGCACACGTACAGCCTAATGAGATTGTGACTGGTTTTACAGTTAATATGAAGAGCCTGTGATTATAAGTGCTCGGGCAGCTCTGTTTGAATAACATATTGATATTTTGCAAAATCGGCACTTCCTTGAAAGAGCTTGGATTGCGGCACTTGTCACATGTGGCGTTATAGACTGGCAGAAGCCGGTTCTTATCTGTAGTTAAGCTGTTGAAAAGAAAGGGTCGTGAGTCTCAGTATAAAACAGCACTTAATACTGGCAAATAAATAATGTTAACACAGTTAAAGCAACTTTATGTAGTTTTGTGTATTTTGGCGACTACAGTTAAGTGAGTGGAATTCGCAGTTGTAAATAGCAAGTCCCAACTGACCTTTTGCAAAGACCCACCCCCCTTAGTTACTGTTGCTATGTCCGACAAGCCACGACGCTATAACACAA